TAAGCTTTTCATCCATCAGTACCCCCAAGTCCTTCTCCTCAGAGCTGCTCTCTATCCACTCTTCACCCAGCCTGTACTTGTGCTTGGGATTGCCCCGACCCAGGTGCAGGACCTTGCACTTGGCCTTGTTGAACTCCATGAGCTTGGCATTGGCCCACCTCTCCAGCCTGTCCAGGTCCCCTTCTCTCCAGCATTTTTGCTGTTGTCTTTTCACTGCACCTGCTTACATGATACGAGATGGAAGAAGCACCCCTCTACTCTATTCTCTGAGCTGCTATTTTCTTGGAAGAAAAATTTTCTACAGAGCTTTAGAAATTAATAATTCTTAACAGGTCTTAAACACCTTTGATTACAGAAACGGGGAGGAGGACAGTGTATCTATGAGCTGTAGAAGTTGGTATATCTGTGGCATTTAATGTAGAAAGCTGTCTCCTGTGTGTTTTGCCTCTGTGCTTTAGCACTAGTCAAATTCAGTAGTCTCAATTGAAATAAGGATTCCAGCTAAGTATTGAAATATAGGATTCGGCAAGACTTAAAGGTTTTCTGTAAAGCATGAAAATTCTGACAGTCTTTTGTATAGCTCAAATTCTTCAGTTCCAATGTGGTTAAAACTAAGCTGTAAAATGCATCAAACAGAGAAATTGCTTCATTTGTAACCAGCAATATAATTACTATAATTATAATTCAAAATTAAATATTATATTTAGGATGATCTTTTCCAAGTATATTTAGAAGCTGCTGGTATGAAAACTTTACACTATAGGACAAAAGGTATGAGGATGAGCTGAAAATGTCATTTTGATCCAGCAAAAAAACATTTTCATTCCAGGGAACATAGGTAAGAACACACATACATTTTCTATACTGGACATGGTGAGTGGCAATAAGCAAGGCCTGCTTGAAAACTTACTTGTAGTTGGGATAAAGCACTAGCTCCTTTGCTCTCTTGGGAAAGGAAGAAGCGTACTGACATAAGAAGTTCTTGAATACAGCAGCGAAATTCCTCCTCATTTTGTCCACCAGTAGCAATAGAGAATAACCTTCGAGACTGAACTATATATTTAAAGATATATTCCTGTGCCTACAAATGTCAAAAGCAGGGATAACTCATAAAAATGAACCAGCTCTTCTTTAAATAGAACACACACAATGGTATCATTCAGAGAATTACAAATGTCTGAAACAGGACACTTTTGGCTGATCTTTCTATTCAAACACTAACATTTCAAAAGCACATACTCAGAAATGATCTTCCTTTCCCTTTCATAATCTCTACAAAGCAAGGAATGATTGCTTTTTTAACAAATGGAAAACTGCAAAATCTCAACATTGCTCATCCCATCGCTTGCATGTCTTTGGCTACAGAAACATGTATTGCATTAGCATGCAAGGTCAATGCATGTTTAAACTTTTAAGACGTTCTGCGAATTTTTTTTTCCTGTTAAAAGTTGTTTTCCTATCAACTGTTAACAAGATAATTAAAAAAAAAAATAAAAGGCAGCTTACATTAAGTTGCAAAACTGCTGTGATGTAAATTTGAAATACACCCCTTTCTTAGTAACAAGCCCCCTAAGTTAACAGCACCACGGAAAACCACAGAAGGGTTCCACATTGACATTCTGTTTCCAGGCTGTAGCACCTGTCCCAAATGGGATTACTGTTTTGTACAACTCAGCCTGACTCCACGCTGTGCTCTCTTGATGGTACAAAATGGAGCAATAAGAACAACCAAACCCACCATTTTCAGTAGAATTCTCCCATGTCAGGACTGAACCATTAAGTCAGGATATATGTCTGCCATTTATATTCAGTTATGCAACAGATGTTAACACCACCAATGTTATCCATATTTGATTTCTTAGATCTAACTCCTACTCATGTATAACCTCATTCAGGAAGGAACACAGAGCTCCACAGTCTAGTGGTAGTAAGCTCCATTGATCAACTTACTGACAAAAGAGAATGATGAATAAGCTGACTGCTCTGAACAAGTCTGCAGCTCCCTAGAATGAGTACTACCATTCCATCATTTACATGTACTCTGCTTCATTTCCCAAGTTAAACCTGTTGGTACTGTATGAATACATCATTTAAATATATAATTGCCTTCAATGGCTTTTATTACCTTCAGTACTTCCTGTATATGTTCGTGCAGCTCTACTTCAGTGACTCGATCAATATGCCACTTTAGGACTTTTATAAGATCTCTAGAATAGCACATCGGAAAGTATTATAACACAAAAGTGGGAAAAGGGTTAACTTTGCATTTAAAGTGCCAACCAATAGCTGCTATATGAGAAACACTGACAAAATAAAAGAATTGAGATTAGATTTCGCTAATCACCACAGGCCAAACACTACACTTAGTTTTCAGTCTGCTGAAAGCCACCTAGTAGATTTTTGTTGAACAGGAAATAATACCAGTATTACATATGCAGTAGAATGATACTGACAGGGATACAAGAGTTGAGTTAAGCCAGAAAAGCCCCTGCCAGCAGGGAGTACCCCTGCTATTCTGTGCATCGATCTGCAGTCTCATTAAACTACACTGGTTTTCATGGAAGTTTAGCTAGCAAATAAAAACAGTACAGCAGAGTAAGTGATCCTTATTAGTGCACTGCTCTACACAGACAGTGAACACAGCTGCAGCTGGATGATGTTATGGCCCCTATGTTTTCCAAAGTAATGCAAATAAAGAAATCCACTGAAGATAAAGATTTTAAAATGAAGCCAATGTTAGAATATTGGGCAATCAACGTTTCTGGTAACCTAAAGTTATTTTACTCTATTTAATGGCCTAAACTTGGGCATTCATACAAGAATTGCATTTTATTCCTAATAATACTGTTTAATTTAATCTAATGAATGATTTTGCTTAGTTTACCAATAACTGTCAGTATTGAAATCAGATAGAAAAAGTACAGACTTCACCTGTATGCAAGTGCTCCTGCAAAATGACTTTCAATGTACGTGTCCATAACTGGCTTAAAGTGGTGAAACTTGCTGTCCTGCAGCAAATTTATTATGTGAACCTAAATGTGAGGGAAAAAGGAAAGGTTTGGGATTTTTAGTTTTGTGTGATGTGGGTTTTTTTTCGTTGTTACTTAGTTCTTAAAAAGAGTTAAGAATCATTACGAAAAGAAACTTACCAAACAGTCAAATACTTTTGATCCATATTTTTGAGAGTTTTCATCTAAAATGCCGAATAAAGTGTCTAGTGTATCTTGAAGAAACTGATTGAAGAGAATAAGAGTTTGTTATTAAACAGGTATTTTTGTGACATGCAAACACATTATTTCCCTCATATTATCTGAAAGCATAGAAAGGTACATACCTTCACTATTTCTGAACCTTCAATTTCTTTTAATTTTGAGAGGCAACCTGCAATTTTGTCTGGGTGGGTTCTCCATTTCAGAAGGTCAAGCATATCTCCTGCAAAAACAAAATGCAAGATTCTAGTTGGAAGCAAAGCAGCTTTTCAGACTTTGAATTCTACTATTACAGTCCACACAGCAAAACTTGGCATCATTAAAACAAAAGAAAACATCTTGAGATTTGCTATGACATGATCTGCCCAACAACAAATTTTCATTCCATCCCATAACAACTCCACCAATATAAACATAAGAACATCGTACAGGGTCACTAAAGCCAGTCTGTGTGGCAACTGTATCATGCAATATCCTGTTCGGATATTTGTCAACTGCCATCTTAAGAAGAGTAATTATTTTGCTGTCCCTCATCCCATTGAAGGATGCCTTCCAAAGCCCTCATCTGACAGCTAGAAATAGTTTCCTAATTACTAGTTTGAATATATTTAAAATACTCATCTTCCTATGTCTGTCTTAGAGAAACACAATGCCTCCGAGATCCTGCTTTAGTAATAAGCAACAAAAACTCTTCAGAGCTAAGAGTTCTTCCAACTTCCTCCAGTTTTAATTAATTTTCCTTCAGCTTTCTCACCCAAAATGGTAACTATGTTACAGACAAGATTACATGGCTGTTTTTTATGTCATTAGGAAGCTCATATGGGTGTTGTAAACACCTGACATATGTTCTAGAATTTAGTGTTGTGGGTTTTTTTTTTTTTTTTTTTTTTTTTTTTTTAAAATTTATTTTAAAAGATCATATTGGTGACACACATAGATGTAACACTGTTCATTCCCTGCCTACAGGAGAATTGGAGAATTCCCAGGAGACTCCATTAGGGTATGAGCCTCCCTTTAGTACCATTAGATCTCATCTAATTTCTACTCTTTAATTATTTAAACCAAAGTTACCTTGTTTTGCCTGTATCACATTTTGATTTTCTCCCTCTTATACAGTTGAAAGGTCTCATCAGTATATCAGCAACAATTTCATTAGCAGGTACTGTAGTGTTTTAGGTTTTAGTGAAATACCTCTCTCATCCCCAACCCTTTCCATCCCTTTAAAACCAGAGGTCAATCCCAGACCTAATTCTTCAGATCTAATAGTTTTTTCCTTCCACTACAGTGCAACCTGCTAGTTAGTTCCCTTTTAGTCTTTATTAACCAGTTTTAAAATTCTTATTCTATTGAGTGTTTTCTCTAATGTCCCATGAGGTGTATTATTGAAGTCCAGATGGTTTAGATTTGCTACGTTTCCTCTGAATAATAATAATAAAACTTTGAAAAGAAAGATTAAGAAGTTTATTCTGGCATGATATGCCTTTGATAAACTCATCTTACAGCACATTCCATTTAGCTACATGTCCATTTTTTCATCCATGATTTCTTGTAAATAGTTGCATAAAATTCATCAGAAGGTGATGGCCCCATTAATGTGTCTGCTTTTCCACCTGTCTTAAATATAGGTACTGTATTTATTACATTAGGTCACGTGTTACTGCTTCAGCTTCAGAGATGTACTAAAAAAACCCCACCTCACTATGAATTATGATGAGGAATTTCACATCCCATACCATTCAATAACCTAAAATAGAGTTTTACAAACTTGGCTTGGCTTGTCAGCACTCTTCACTTGACCCTGCCCCTTGCTGACCTCCGATACAGTTGCTGTTATTTTTCCCCTTTCTGGTGCAGGTTCTCTGCATACTCCTCGCATTTTCTGCCTGTGACTCAATCAGGTATGCAGCACTCCTTCCAATTTGTATTCAATGAAAGTTCCACATATTTTTGAACCATTGAATTAAATAAATCCCAAAGTTCCTTTACATTTGAGTTTATTACCTCCGCATTTCGTTAACAAGCTTCTCAGAATTTCTCAAAGCCTGCCCATTTGAAGCAGAAAACCTTAACCACTGTCCTATCCTTCCATCAGTTTAAGCTGAACCATTGCCTAGTTGATCACTGCCCAGCATTGTCTTAGAAGGATCCAGTTCTTTTGAAAAGTTCTCAGTACTTCTCAAAGAAAGAAGCTTATAGCAATTTTCCTCCTGGTTCAGCAAGTATTTGCATGCTTTCTATCACAGGCTGTTTTCACACTCAAGTAACCGTTGAGTCACACCAATCTTTGTCTTCTCTTTCCCAGTCTGCTCCAGGAAAGCTCCTCTCTCCAACAACAAAAAATGAAGTAATATTTTTATTTTATGTTATTAAAGTAAAATCACCTGTATTTACATCTTGCCAGAGGTGTTAATGGCAAACACTCTACATGGTATTCTACTAATATTTTGCTGCCTTCATTGATTTTGGTGGGCACAAATTTTTTTAATGCATTTATATGTTTCTTTTTTATTTTGCTTCATGTGTGCTAGTATGGATTAAGAGAGATGCTCAAGTTGCACTAGGAGTGCTGGAGGGTCACACGCACAGGCACAGCAGAGACAGATTCCAAAGACCAAGGACAAATGACAGGTCTTATTATTCCTTCTGTCAGGAATATTCAAATAAACAAGCATTACAAATCCAGTGAACTGCATTTGTCTTTTGGATAATTAAATGGACTTCTACACTTTATTCTGTTTAAGCCTCAACTTGAGGAGCAGCACGACTAGCTCAAGTTGTCAGTTCATTGCAGGAGAAACACTTCTTTACAGGTTTGCTGGAGGAAGTTGGTGGAAGATAGTTGACACTCAATTTTAGGGATTTCTTGGGGGATTAAAAACGAAAGAGAGCAAATGTAAGACGCTCACTTCAAAGCACTCATTTCAAGGGAACTGCTAAGCAGGAAAGTCATTGCTGAGATAACATTCGTGAATAGCCCAAGCATAAATGACACGAACAGCAAATCTGACATGTGAATCACAAGGGAAAGGGATAGCAATGTGGCATGTATTAAGAGAAATAAGAATATAAAAGCATCCCCCAAAATAGGCCCAACTAGGAAAGCGTAGTTTTGGAAAAGGGAAAAAGTCAATGCTGATGATAAATTTTGCTGAAGAACAAAATATTTTTAATGCCTTCTCTTAATCATGATCAGATTGTACATCTACAACAGGATACACCTGACCTATCATTCCTACCAAAGAAAACACTTCCCTTCTCAAAGTCCGTAATTTAAATCCAAAGTGCTATGTTTAATAAAAGCTTTAGAATCATGTGTATGAGGAAGTGGTTTGGGATGATCTTTCCATCTTTCTCCTATAAATCCTGAGACATCAGAAATTGGGCTGGTGTAGTATTACCGCACTTCAAAAGGAAAAAGCCAAATTCCAGAATTGGCAACCTGCATTCCTCTTCCAACAGGCTGCTTCTGCAGTTTCCACCACTCCCTCCAAACTGGGGTCACTCTGCTCCCTGTTACTTTTGTTTTATTAATCACCAGTTTAGCTTTTTTTAAAAGCAGATAGATGGATTACACCTCTGCCTTGCCACAGACGTGCTGTACAGCATGTTGCTCTGCTCATGAACAGCTGCTTACTGGGGATGTGCCGATCAGTGCTGAGAAATGTGGACGCCAACTTGCTAAAATATTCTGAGTTGCCGGATGGATCCCGAGTCTCTGGCAGGCAGAGATCCCTCCTGTATGTCAAAAACTAGGTAGGACTGCTAACTGCACAGTAGAAAAAGACTGTGTTCTCTCTTGCTGTTTTAGGTTTAGGTATTTTTAGGATAATGAAATATAATTATCCAGCAAAGGATGCAACACAGAAGAGCTGGCATACTTCTTTGCTAACATTGACTATTTATCTACTCAGGTTCAGAGGACAACCTAAGGAAAAAGCTAACTGGCAGACAGATTAGATAAGGAGGCACTCTTATGAGACACATTTAACGCACAGACTTCCCTGGTCAGAAGGTCTCTGAAAATTGCTTGGAAATAAACCTAAACCACCCCCCAAAGTACCCAGGGTAAGGTCATTATGGATCCCAACAACTGGGAGTCAGGCTCCTTCCCCCAGTCCCCACAATTTTAATATGCATGAGAGCTGATGGCATGTGGGAACAATAAATGAGAGAATAACAGCTGAGTTTCCTAGCGAGCTAGTAAATTTGTGCTCTAATTCAGTTACACCCTTTACAAGTCTGGGTTTGGGGTCCTCTTCTACACCATGGCCAGAAAATGGCATAATTTTCAATTAATTTCCAGGCTCTGGACATTGTTGGTTGTATACACAGGTAGATTTCTGAGAACTTCAGAAAAGCCTCCAAACTTAAAAACAGATTTAAAAATAATCAGCAGTTTTCAAAAATACTAATACAAATGTTTACTAAAAAAAGTAAATACACAGATCTCTTTAATCCTGTTTTTTGGTGGGTGTTTTTTTTTTTTTTTGTTTTGTTTTTTTTTTTTTTTTTATAAATATGCTACATTCTCTCAGGGATAACTGAAGTAATGCTCACATGACCAAATATCCACATGCTTTGCTCTATGTTCATTTTCTGAGCATGCAATAGGTTTGGCAAATTTTTGTTTAAAAGAATGGGGATTTGGAAACTCACCAAGATGAACTTCCCAAAGAAGATCCTTGGAGAAAATATGAGCCTGTCTATTGAAATTTTTTCCACCCTCTGAAGTACTGCTGAAATAATTGTTAACTCTTTCAGAGCTGAAAAGGGGATCAATATTATTCAGATATTCTACACCCTCTTACTCAGAATAAGGTTAAAAAAAAAAGGATATTTTATGTCCTACGTCACACAACTATTTACATCAAGTACAAACTAAATCCTGTACTGTGAACATAAATTAGTATTATAACCCCAGACAATAGTGCAACTATTTATCAGTGAGACACTTTAGTTCTGGGCAGCACTTGCATGCATGTGTAAGTACCAGTAGATTCATGTGATTTCCCTAAATCAAGGCCTTTAACTGGAGCAAATTTAGTCTCTGATTGCCTATTAGCAACCTTTGGGAAATTCTTTTATTGGCTAACTTTTATGACTTCAAAGCTAATTGCTATGAGAATACAGAATGGATGTGCACAGTGAAACAGACCACTTACTATTAGCACATAGTTCTGTTTTAGATACTTGTTACTAAATGGTGAAAATTAAGACTATTATTTCCATTTAAAAAGCTGCTCTAGTTATTGTTAAACAGCTATTATCAATTTGCAAGCAATTAGCATTTTTATCATCACCCATATAAGAAGAGTAAAGAAACAGTCATTCTCACACAAGAGGGAGCTAAGCAAGATCTTAAAAGTGTGATACACAGCTTAGGAAAAAATAATATAAAATGGAGGGGATATCAAAGAATGGTCAGAAACACATTATCAAGCAAATACACAAAATTTAGGAATCTGTGGAAAACTGTTTCACCTATTAACTGTTATTAATATAGCAAATAAACAAGACGAATTTTATACAGGGCAATGGTAAAGAGCACACATACACGTATTTCTATCTGCTGCTCCTTATATCCAGTGTATATGATTGTTTTAACTATTGGTAAATGTTTGTTGCCTTAAAGGAAGAGAAGTGATACAACAAAAAAGTAATATGTGCCTAATTAAAACCAAACTGCCACAGCCTAAAGCCTACAATAAGTATTTCATGAAAACTCAACAAACAGATTAAGAGGTTTGGTAAAGCAGCTGGGTGTTGATAGTTGATTCCAAGAGTGCTGCATTCAATTCCAATATCATGTTAATCTAAAAGGCATTATTGAACTACTTAAAATCAGTGGTTTATCATGCTGCATTGGTTTCCATCTGGATATAGAAAAACCTGAAGGAAAGCAGTTCGTAAAATGGAGAGAACATAAGCTATTTTTGAGTACATCCATGCTGACTTGGCACAGAAAAGGCTAGCTATGACACTCATATGAATTCATCATGTTTTAAATAATCAACATATCCTACCATTTTGTGTAAGTTTAGTGGAGCAGAGAAAGGACGTAATCCAGAAGGACTCTTTAGTGGTTTTTACTGTTTGGCTGTTGTTTCCTAGGAAAATTCCCTTTGAAAATGGGAGTTTGAGGTAGCGAACAGAATCCTGAAGGTTTGTGTTTTCTTCACACTGTGAAAACAAACCAGTTAAAACACCTGTACTGAATAAAAAGGACCAGATCCCTAAATTATATGAATTATTATTTCTCCACCAGAAACTGAAAATTTTTCACTCTGCTGGTTGCCCCTTTGTTTTTTGGTTCTCAGTTTCGTATCAAACATTGAAGTCTAACTAATTTTCATGTTATGTCAAACGAATAGCTAGAAATTTTGGTGTTAAATCTAAAATTTATTCGGGACCATATCAAATCCTCTGAACAAAGAGATAACTGAAATGTGGAAATGAAAAGAAATTCCTCAAAAACAAAATATCTCTAAAGATGATAACAGAGTAGATCTGCATAAATGAGCTTGCTTGATTTTCCAACTCCAGAAGTGGAGGAAGGTATCATGGGGTTCACTCTGTGTGTTTTAATTCAACTTGGCTTTGTGAAATCTGCTATAAATACAGATAAAATTATAATGGATGCATTTATAATTTATAATGGATATAAATACAATAATATAAGGGTAAGGCTTCATAGTAAAATCAGCGTACTAAAATGCCTATCTAGATTCAATTGTGATTTGTAACAGGAAGCTTAATATTAAACAACCAGCAATGAATATTTTAATGGTGACAAGATTATCACTCATCTGGTAGTGAATACAGACTTTCTCAACCTATTGTTTCCGAGCATTTATAGTATGTTCCAGAGGAATCGTTACAGCTAATGATTACTAATTCCAATTACCTTGTGTACAATGAGTTCATGGGTGCCATCTGGCAGAGTCCTCCCATTTTCCTGCATCAGGGGCACGAAGGAAAAGCCAAACAACTTCTTCTCACCCTTTTCTTTTGCTGAAATACATATGGAAAAAGCAGCAATTAAAGTTAGTATTATATATTTTAGACAAAGTAAATGGATACAATACAACATAAGAAGGTATACTGGAAGCTATTTGCAGCTAGTCAGACTAAGATTATTTTACATTTCTTTTCAGATTTGCAAATTTTCTCCTGTAATTTTTTTTTTTTTTTTTTCTCTCACTATAAACCAGAAAGCAGTGTTCTGGAATGATTTGGCATTTATTAATGACAAATGATGGAAGACACCAAATATGCATTCTTAGCAATATATAGACTGCCAGAAAACCCAAATGTGATTTAGCCAGTCCGACATGAAGAGAAAAGGGGTTATTACCCCCTATAGTAGCTTCCACCTATTGGTCTCATTTAGGTTCACCTCAGACTACAGTGCACTTCTATTTACAAAGAAGGCGTCTGCCTCTGTAAGTATGACTGAGGATGTCACTGTTCCTTACATGAATGGTGGACAGTAGATAACATTTTCAAACTTGGATGCCTAAGCTCAATTCCAAAACTCATCACCTAAATACAACGCAGACTACAAAACACTGAGATGGCACAGATTTTACTGAAAGCAGAGTGCAGATGCTGAACACTTCTGAAAATCAACCGGTTTTTCATCAAATGTGCATATATATTACTTCTGAGTCCAGGTTTAGCACAGTTGGGAGTGGTGCAGGCAATCATAACAAAAACATCCAACTTGTACTGCACGGGAAAGACTGTGCAAAAATGTATCATCTGTTTGAAACATACCATTGAAGTTTTTCCTTTATTAATTCATAGATTATAAAAGAAATCTGAAAAAGAAATCAATATGAATTTCTTCCTATATTACCTGTTCCTTGCATTTTGACGTTTATGTACCCAAAATCTAAATATACTAGCCCTTACTGTGCATGCCACTTTCCACAGAGGCAATCTAATTAGTTAAGCCTTGCTACATCTACATCACCAAAAGGAGACAAACAGCAGCAGTTTAAAAGATGTACAGTTTTATCCACCTTTCTTTTATAAGCTTGAGAGCAGTCAGCAGCATAGCTATGAAACCTGTCTCACATACCTTGGTGCATACACCGCAGAGCCAGACCTCAATTTTTATCTCAAAATCCTCTCTAAAGTTGTTCAGAGTGTTTAGAGAATTTTGGAATTTTATTTTATACAGAAAAAAAAAAAAAGGCAATACAGTAGTGATGTTAATTGACCATGACATGATGTATCTATGTACATTTCCCATTGGTTGGATTGCTAAACATAATATAATTTGGTCTAATTTTGGATAATTCAACAGGTAAATTCTAAATTTGCATTTTGAGTTTACCTTAAAGGCTGTGTACATTTGCAGCTGCAATGTTGTCTACTATTTAAGAAAACTAGGCTGGTTTCTCCTAGTATTTAGGCTCTACCAAAGCACTGAGTTCCAGCCAGTAGAGCTGCAAGCCTGAGAAGCTGTGTCATGAAAGCAATACAGATAAAGTTCATGCAGTTGTCTTTTTCCTGAGGTTTTATGGAAACTCATGTGCTGACTGCAGATGTAATGGAGAGGACTAACAGAAGTCGTGAATGGCACTTACTGGAACAGTGCCGGAATTCACAGCGGATGTGTGCTCCTCTGAATTTATCCACAGGAATAGGAAGTTTCAGCAGCTCAGCCCATCTGGGACCATTGTTATGATAAAGCACAAAGGAATGGTACTCGCTGGCTGGTGGCTCTCCAGAGCCAAATGAGATAAAATCCTAATGAACAGAAGTATTGATTAGAGATTAAAGGCAGATTAGTTCACTGGTAAGGTGCCATCAAGGACTGTTCTTACAAGGAAGACTATTCAATATTTACATTCATATGATGAATGCCACATGTGGTATAAATGCTCAATATCTTTAAATCCAAAAAAATAGTAGCACTTTGTTAATATTTTCTGATTAATGACAAGAATCATCCACACCAATGAGAATCCAAGTATTGTATAAGGGGAACTACATGATTAGGAAGGCTTAAGCAACAAATGTGACATGGAGGTCCATGACACAGAAAGGTCCATCCACTGTTATGTCCAAGCAACAAACAATGCCTGGGCAAGAACAGTCCAGGCTTATGACCTTTAGTCCTCTGAAATAAGCTTGTAACCCTGCTGTTATCAGTGATAGGCCCCAGCATGCAAAAAAGAAAGAAATCTGGATCTCCTGATTAGGAAGAAGCAAAATGTTTGTTGCCTTTGCAATCCCTATGATAGTGTCTCTATTGCAAAGTAGGCAGATGGATTTGTCCAAGTCCTGCCTTGGGGATACCAATTAATTCTCTGTGGGAAAGGTAAGCTGTACCTTTTCTCCTCAGCAGTTATAAGGAATCACTTTTGCATCTCAATGTCCTTCCTTTTTTTACAGATATATAAATAAAGATATATACGCAGACAACTGTATATATATTTATATACATAAAGAACATACATACATTGGACACCATGCATGTATATACACGATGACACCTCACACAGACACACAGACACAAAGTGCACTAGAGTACGTGTGTCACCCTTCCTTTATTTCGTCAGTCCACAGCCCTCACATCATGCAGAACATGTGAAAAAAGTATTTTCAAATAAAAGGGGGG